ACGGCTCAGAGGCACTCAGCTGTCCCCTCACGGTATAAAGCAATGCTAGCAGAACGAGAATCTGATGTACAGCCTTTCTCCTGAATTGCAGGGTATTAACAATGCCTGAAAACACACAGCTTCAGCAAATTTGAGCAACATGCCATATGGTGAGAATTGTTATATAATTTCTAAGTCAATAGTTTAGAATCTCTCAGGCCAGGAAATGTTCATGTCCACATGGATCCCCAGATATGTCACCACCAGACTGAGTTTTATTTTTGGTACGAAGATTTATAGAAAAATAGGCTTATGAAAAACATTCACCTACTAGGAAGAAATTTGAAACCAAGGTTATTGGAAGTCACTGTTATTTACCAACATGACACATTTCAGGCAGTGGCAAAACTGTATTGATTTATTGTTGAGAAAGCCTTAATTGCAATCAGTAGTGATTTAAACATCTACAAAGATCTATTATCTGTTATGATGCTCTCAAGTTTATCAGTACTCACTATAATATAGTAACTTTATAATCCTAAATGTGGATTTACGTCTATGTGCACGTATATATGAGGTTGTGGGGGAAGATGTGGGTTTATGTAGGAATGCCATGCTTTGGGTGCCTAATTCTACAGGTTATTTCTGTTTTCTTGTTAGCCCTGGCACAAGAGTTTTTGCTTTAAAGACTCAAAATTATGTGCCAGACAAGCATTATTATGACTACCTAAGCAAAGGGTAATAATAATGAGAGGGAATATAAAATGCAAAATGTCTCAAAGCATGATTTGATGCAATTCAGATGGCTTAACAAACAAGCCTTTGATTTGCCTCTGAAAAGTCCACTGCAACAGCTGTGTGGCCAGCATAAAATGTCCGATTCATGTTTCATCAGAGCGCTGGAGGAGAGCTGAGATCATTCCAGGCCATATCTCCTCCTTTCACAGATGAGGAAACAGACATCCCCAAAGTTTAGCAGTTTGTGGCAAAACCAGGTCTCGTAAATTCCAGCACACCCGTTCTCTTTCCAAAGGAATGATGCTACTAGCCTTACTACGGCTCCAACGTGACAATGACAAAGATGATGATAAAAATTAAGTGAGCTTTTCCTATACGCCACTACTGACTTAAATACTTGACATAAATAGGTCATCAGAACTATTATCATCCTTATTTAACATATGAGGAAACAGAAGTGTAGCAAGATTCAGTAAGTAGCTCACCTGACCTCACACAGATAGAGGTGGTGTAGCCAAGATTTGAACCCAGGCAGCCCACATGCTTCCACCACTCCAACCAACTCACTGCAATGCCACTATACATACTACAGAATTATGTATTTCTTTTTTTTTTTTTTTAAAGATTTTATTTATTTATTTTTCCCCCAAAGCCCCAGTACATAGTTGTCTGTCATAGCTGCACATCCTTCTAGTTGCTGTATGTGGGACGCGGCCTCAGCATGGCTGGAGGAGTGGTGCCTCCGTGTGCACCCGGGATCCGAACCCGGGCCGCCGGCAGCGAAGCGCACGCACTTAACCGCTAAGCCACGGGGCCGGCCCTGAATTATGTATTTCTAAATCGGAAAGCCTGAGAGTGGAAGCTCTTGCTATAGCTTTTAATAAATAGCATAACATAAAACATAATTGAGAATTTAACTTTTACGCACCACATGAGATTTAGAGCTCTTGCTTCTCTTTGCTCTTTCAATTCATGCACTTATCTTTCTCTCTCCTCCCCTCCTCTCTGTCCCCCCAAGTTTTGAGAGCTGCCTCAAGAGCTCTGATTCAGTATCAATGATGCCTTTATTCACTGAGCCTGACAAATAGGTCGGTTTCAGGAAATATGTGCTTCCCCTTCTCCGTCTCCTCTATTTCCCATCAGAGAATGAATGCTTCTGTCTAATGTTTCTATTCACAATTAAGAAGGATTGCTATTTTTTTTTTAATGAAGAGAAAGGAAATCAAATTAGTATAGAAACCAATTAACTAATCTACCAGTAATGTATTTACTAGGCAGATTATTTACAATGAATGCAAACAACCCTGAGAGAAGAGCAAGCAAGAATTTTACTTTTTGCTAAGGTGGTTACAGTATTTGTACACTAATGAGGATATCTAAAGAATAAGAAATTTTCTCCCCCAATTTTGTAAATAGACATTGCTCTATCAGCTGAGAGAATCCTATTTCAGGGTTAACTGGAATATGGTATTTGATATGATCATGCAAACTAAAATTTAGTAAATTTTAGGCTACCAGTAGTTTAAAAATCACTTTTATCTTTTCAACTATTTCTGAACATACTATTTGTAATGAAGAGCTATAGAAATCTTGAGTTTCACATTTGAATTTTATCATCTGTACTTAACAAAGTTATTTCTGGTAAAAAAAAAAAAAAAAAGTGTGTCCTATATCCAAGGATGTGACATATTGTAGAAGGCTAGAATGGTCTCCATAGGCAATAATGGTGGACATGATTCTAGAATCTTCCTTAAGCATTATCTTAACCACATCACTCCAACAGCCCCTATTTTTCACCACGTCAATCTAAACTTCTTAGTCTAGCTCTTTAAATTTCCTATTATCTGGCCTCACTCAACATGTACAAATAGGTCTCCCACTGCTCCCCCAATGACGCACCTTCTGCTCAGACCAGTGCTATCCACCACGCTCACTCCCACTTCTGCATCTTCACTTATCGAAAAGCCAAATGAAGTACCATTTATGGCACCTTCCATTAATAGCACATTGTTACCTATTTAACGCTTATAACAACATATGAGATAGGTATTATCATCTCCATGTTTCCCATTTTGCAGAAAATAGATTGTAGCTCAGAGAGATTAAATGGTTTAAGAGAACCACGGGTCAGCCCCATGGCTTAGTGGTTGAGTGCGCACCACCACACCGCTTCTCCGGCCATGCGAGGCCGCGTCCCACATACAGCAACTAGAAGGATGTGCAGCTGTGACATACAACTATCTACTGGGGCTTTGGGGGGAAAAAATAAATAAAATAAAATCTTTAAAAAAAAAAAAAAAAAAAAGAGAACCAAAGTAGGAGTCCTGAGATTTAAACCCAGGTTTGACTTCAGAGTCCATGAGCTTTCCTTGATACCATGTTGCTTCCTCTTGTCTGGATGTGCCCTCTCTACTGACCTTCGGCTAAACCTATGCTCAACCTTTATGCCCAGTTTCAGTCCCATCTCCTCTATGATGCCTTCTCGGGCAACTTCAGTCTTTCCAGATTTTTGCCTCTCCTTCGGTTTTCTATTGTACTTAAACCTGTGAAATCTAGAGTTTAACTAAATATTACCTCAAAATGTTTACTGTTGTTGGTTATGCATTCTTTTTGCTTTCCAACTTAGTTTTTAATTTCTCAAGGGCTTCCTAGGCTGTGCACACAGCAGGGGTTTCATAAATACTTAAGGAACTATTCTGAGACATTCAGGCTCCCTGGGTTATATAAGAGGAACAAAACAACAGCATCGGGCTGGGGCACAGAACGGGTGGTGGGGAGTCACTGAGTTTCATGGTGGAGAAGGTAGACTGCGGCTATATAATAAAGGACCTTAAATGTTGTCCAAGGAGTATAGATTTTATGTATAAGTGATGAGGAGCGCTTGAAGGTATCTGAGAACTGCATGAGAAGAGTTCCAATTCAGGAAGATATATCTGGCTGTATCCTGAACAACATCAATTGAACAGGGTCAGAGATTGGGCTTTGTATAGCCATAGCATTTGTCCTCATTTGTTTCTGTCACAGTAGGAAATGTTTTACTTTTGGTGTTTATTTAAATCCAAAAGCACACACCCAGCACAAAAATACACAGAGTGCTAACAGTCAAGGCAGAGGCAGACTATTCCAGACTCTGTAGAATTTATTATCTAAAGGCCCAAAGGACTGATAAAAAGACAAATTAATTACAACCAACATTAAGAACTGTTCATTCACTTTAATAAAATACATTGCTGAAGTTGTAGGAATGATGTTCGGAAAGAAAGGCTAGTTTACCCAATGTGAGAAACCGAAGGAATTTTCCTAGTTCAAGATTGTTAACTTTTGAAAAGATCATATATCAAATAATTTCTCAACAAGTTTGCTTCATGTGGCAAGGAAAAGGCTATCAATAAACAAAATTCCCTACAAGCAAGTAACTTCCTTTTGCTTTCTAATCCTTCAAGACCTACATCCTCTCTATCCTCCCCTCACTGGGTTTCTTTCTTTTGAAAGTAAATGAGAAAGTCATTCGGCTGATAGTCTTATAAGTAGAGATAAGGAGAAACACTCATTAACACTATATATCAAGAAAAGGGGGACACATTCAGATGGGAGGGAATCAAAGACTTCCTCCACTGAAGCAAATGCTTCCCTCTTGAGCTAAAGCAATTGTGGTTAACTCCTAGGGAAGGCTAAGATTCACCTATGATCACAAATAATAAAATGAGCAGTCATTTGTGTTCAATGGAATAGGGATAAAATGCCTCAAGGAAGGACTACCAGCAAAATGTGGGGCTATGAGGCAATGTTTCCCTGAGGAATGTGTAGTTTTAGATCCTATCACCACTGACTGCTTTAAAACACTCAGGACGTGTGAGCAGGTCCTGGAAACCAACAGCTCCTGGGCTCTGCTTATATAAATGGAGCAGTGCATTCCTTGAAAGTTAGTGACAAGGAAAGGCATGGCACATTAAATCTCTTCTTCACGTGATAATCACAGCAGCTACCATTTATAGCTTGAGGTGGTTCCCCATTATCTCGAATCCTTGGAAGACTTCTGAACATACTAATATCCCCTTTACAGGCGAGGAACCCGAAGCTTAATGAGGTTGGGAAAAAAACCTGTCCGCGGCTTCTCAGCAAGTAAGCGGCTGAGCTAGATCCTGAAATCAAAACTTACTGGCCCACGTGCTTCGGAGTGTGAATTTATGGGAAAAACAGAACTCCAGAATAATTAAAGAAAATTGACATAATAGAAGAGGCCAGAGGCCCAACCATCAAGTGCAGAGAGAGAGCCAACTTACCAGCATATTTTGTAGTGTTAGATTCATCCATGGACCAAAAGCAATAATCAAAGGCAAATACCTGAATAAAAGAACAAAAAATTAAACTTAAAAATTAATTAACTTCTATGAGTAAATCAGACTGCAAAAAAAAATTCACTGATGAAGATGAGGATGCCTGCTACCGTCTGATGTTAAAAAATCATCATAGGTTTGATGCCTTGTTAATCCTGAAGTTTCTTTTAGGCTAAATTGAAGGTTATCCTCTTGTATTAGAGTAAGTTGTATATGAAAATTGCTATTTATCCAGAATTCAAACAAGCAGACATCTTAACCAAATTTGTTTCAGTGATGCATTTAGTGAGAAAAACAATGACTTCTCTCAAAAGTCCACAGTTTCAGCATCTGCTGAAACTCTCCAGCTGGATCTCCCACACCTTCTCAAGAAACACTCAAATGATCAACTTTCATTTAAACCAGTTTCTCTAACTTTCCATGATGTTGCCATTTCTAGCATAGCCGAAACTCAAAACTCCCCACATTCCCATCTTGGACTCCATTGTCTCTCCTGTTTCAGCATGCAATCTTGGACCACTGTTAATACATCAATAACTCACTCTTACATGCATCATTTTTCTGTTGCAAGTGGGCATGGACTGAATGCCCACTTTGTACCAGGAATGGCTGCTGCTGCCATAAGGACTTTCATCTAATCGTTGTTTTCCACGCATATGACCACCACTCCTGTTCCAGCCATCACTATCAAAGTAATAGGGCAACGGTTCCCAAAATTTGCTCCAAGGAATAGCAGTTTCATGAGATAGACCATGAAAAAAAGATTAAATCATGTTGGAAATTGTGTGCATTTTACCCTGTTTAAGATTCTCAATGCAATTCTCAATATTAAAGGCTCTGAAAAGTCCTCCAACAAATAAACCCATTTGTTTAACTTTTTTATTTCTCCAATTAATTTCGGTGAGGAGACCCTTTCTTGAGTAACATCTATTAACGTGCCTTGAAACTAGTGTTTCTCAGCACAGCCCTTAGCAAACTGGCCCAGATGACTCAGCAGACACTTTCCTGGGCTCCTTTTTATAGCCTTTTGCTTCTCGCAGCCCAAAAAGCAAATTATGAACCTCTCATGGACAGGGACCCTTTAATGCTAAATCATTTCCAAGGGATCTTAAGTACTAAGCAAACAGCACCCTGACCTGGCAACTGAGAACGTCCATAATGAAGACTTTCCAGCCAACTTCCTCATGCTTCAGCTGACTTGTCCACACCTTGGAGTTACTAGGTACAATTCCACCTCTGTCATTGTTCCCTTTATTTCATACTCTCAGTTCAATATATTTTTCTTCCAGGAAACATTCCTTGGTTAAATCCAAAGGAATCAGCTTTCCCTTCTCTGAACTCTCGCAACACAGTTTAATCCTTTTTTGGTGACTCCTATCCCAACTACTCTATTTTTCACTTACCATGTATATGATCTGCGCATATGTTTTATCTCCCCTGGTAGACTTAGTTCCTTGAAACCAGGAACCATTCCTAATTCATATGTGTATCCCTGCAGTGTTCATAGTGGTTGCTTTATATTTATATATTAAATGATTAATGGCATTGAGACCTTGTAAGAAAGCAGGTAAATTCTACATCATCAAAAGACTAAGTTATGCTCTGAATAGTTTCAGCACTACATATACTTCAATGCTTTTAAAACTGATTCAGGTATGCACACAACTTACATCATCAATCTCAAATCCAAATTCAATGTTGTGACTTATACAAACATTCACTCTGGTCTTACAATAACCAAGGTTAAAACAAACAGCTATGTAACAATAGCTTCAGCCAACAGAGTCCGGAAATTTTACTGCATTGGAGGGCTCTTCCAATGAATCGAGAGACCACACAGGCATAATCCAGTTAATCCTCCCGCCTCTGGGCAGGACTGAACTTCAACACTTCTCCTGAGAGATGAAGATCTGTCTTGTTTTTAAACATTTCCAGAAAAGGAGATTCCACAACCTCCCTTTAATGGCATCTTCTAACGCTTAACTTTCATTCCCAGGACATTTTCCTTGCCTTTGACCTAAGTCAACTCTCTTTCCTTTAAATGGCCAATAGAGGCTATTTTCCAATTTTTAAGTATCTTTATTGTTTTCCTCTAGAGTTTCAATGAATGCTTCTTAGTAGTGGCTATATACAGTGAAATAATCATTTATTTCCTAGATGTTAATTTTTCATACCTACCTAAAACTCATTTTTAACAGTTTGCTATTTTGCATACAGGTTAGAAAGCTAGAGATTTACATTCACAGTAATGCTACTTGAAATAAAGTGAAATCCACCCCAAATTTTGAGGCTCTATCTCTCAGTAATAATCATTCCAAGTTCTGTGCCAACTTCCATTTCTAACAAATAGTTAATAGCTTAAAGTTGCTTTCGCTCATGAAAAGGAAGATAAAAAATTTTCATTTTAAGCATTTGTCCCCTAAAATGCAGACAAATGTTAAAACCCTGCAGAGGAGAAAAGGGCCCTGACAGTACTGGTAGATATCACTATTCTTTGCTAGCCAAATACTCGCCTTTCCCTGAACTGAATTAGGTCTCAAATTTCAAAACCTTTCATCACAGGCATTTTAGAATGGTCAGCCCTCAAACCAGTCATGGAGTATAGGTTATTATTTTACTATACATTTGCCAGTAAGAAAGCTAAAGCCCAGAAATCTGAGGGATTTCCCTAAAAACTCAAAGTGAATAGAAGAACTTTTGTTATAACGTTTTTGTTAATGCAAGTGACAAGTGATCCCCCCTTCTATGAAATTCTATAGCACTCCGTAGCTCCTGTTCACATGTGGTCCTATTTTATGCCTCAGTTCCCCTTGTGTGGGTCTCATCTCCACTCTAAAGGTGAATCCCTTGGGGGCGGGGACTTTGTTCTCATGCACCTCATAGTGCCTGAGTCAGCACCTCATACAGAGCAGCCACTGTAATTTTTTTTTCCAATAAATAAACATAATACCAGGAGAAGGAGTTGGAATGTAGACAAGAACATGGAATGGATGTGAGAATTGTTACAAATAAGTTCAATTGCAAGATATATTTTTAGATGTTTCATTAGTTTCAGAAGCACGTTTTGGGGAAACCTGGTTCCTTCAATGGTCAAATACAGATTTGGTCACTGGATGGGCACTGGGGTCCTCTTTGGCACCATCATCCCATGGTTCATGCGGATAAATAAGTATGGCCACATCACGTATAATTTGTAGTTTGCACAGAAATTCAAACAATTGTTCTACTATTGCTAGAATAATTATTTATTTGTTACTAAAACAGTTTTAAAAATGTTTAAAATAATTTGTCTTAGGTAGTCTGATCATTTCCCTTGCAATCTTGTTAGTACTATAAATAAACTATTCACAATCTATTATCTTTCTTTTCAAGGCCAAAAAATTTAATTACAGTTTAATCACAAAAGGTTTGTAACAAAAGGGGACATGATTTTCTTAGGTCTTAGAGAAGTTTTGATTTTTTTTTTTTTTTTTTTTTTTGTGAGGAGACCAGCCCTGTGCTAATATCTGCCAATCCTTCTCTTCTTTTGCTGAGGAAGACTGGCCCTGGGCTAACATCCATGCCCATCTTCCTCCACTTTATATGGGACGCCGCCACAGCATGGCTTGCCAAGCAGTGCATCGGTGCGCGCCCGGGATCTGAACTGGCCAACCCCAGGCCGCTGTAGCGGAGCACACGCACTTAACCGCTTCGCCACCGGGCCAGCCCCAGAAGTTTTGATTTTTCAATACAAAATCCATTGACATTTCAAAAGAGATAACAAACCCATTTTCTTGAGTTATTCCTTGGAAACTGACCACTTCAAATAAAATCAGTTTTTTCAAAGCCAGTACATTATATTAGAGAAATATGTTATTTAAGACTTCTAACTCATTTCATTAGAATTCCTAAATGCTTATTTCATGTATTCATTATGAAGTCACTAGTATCTTACCCAGAGTGTGGGAGACGGGGGACTTCTTAATACATACAACTGAGTAAAAAAACAAACCTAACTTGGAAACCAAGTATAATTTCATCTTTCATCAATGCCAATGTTCAATCAACATGGTGAGAACATTTTTTATAAAGGCATCCATACCTTCCAAGAGTCTTCAACTAGAAAAAGAGCCAAAAGTACAGATGCTCTCCAGTTGTTTTTAAAATCTGAAAGCCATTGTCTTCGTCGTTTTCAACAAAATGTGACTCCACCTTCTTAGAATCCCACTCCTTCCTCTTGGTTTGCAACTTGTAAAACTCATACCAGCATTTAATTCCCTGCAGCTTGCTATACACATCTGCTCCACGTGCATCACTCTCTTAAAAATGTTAGCTTTGCATCTTTGTGAACCACTGAACATCTAGTAAAGTTACTACAAGCTGTTTTTAATAAGGCAAATGTGTTGAGTGATATATATTCTGAAGCAAAGGAGTTCCAGGACTTAGAAGCAGGATGCAGCATAGTCAAACACACTCTTATCTGTAAGTCCTATTCTCTGATGGCATTTCAGCCAAATTCAATTTACAATTTAAAAAAAAGAAAGTATCCTCTATGTTCCTTGAAGAATCAGAAGGCATCAGTGTTCTACAAATATCAGTCATCATTTTTCTCATCCATAAAAACCAAATGTAAAGGTACTTTCAATTGCATTACCTCTGTATCCTTTCATTCACCCTTTCTACTTGTATGCTTTCACTAATATGTTCTCCAATCGTAAAACATTTAATCCAAAAGCAATCAACACATACCTATTTGCCACCCCTCTCAAGTTTTGGTACTATAGGGAACTTAAGTATGTATTAGGCACGTTTTTTTATCCTCTAGTCACTTATGGTCTAGTTAAAAAGACAAAACATGAAACAATTATTTTTGAAAATAAAAAAAAGCACATTTTTTTCAAAATCATTTTAATACCTTTCACAGCTTCTCTCCAGGCAGAATGTGAATAACCCAATACTTGTCTCAAAATAATTTAATTTCATGCAGAGAAGTATTTCTGAACACTCACATCAGATTCTTGCGGAAGC